AGTGAAGCTGCTCCTACTAGCTGTAAACACATGAACAAAGTGCCACAAGAGGCACTAGTAACATAACATGTACAAGAAAGAAGCAAACCCCTTCCTCGGAACGTTTCTGCCCAGTGGGAGTAAGAGACATGCAAACATTCTAATCACAGTCAATACCATTCTATATCTGCAGTCTCACAGATTTAAATCCATAGATTTAAATGACCAAAGATAAAAAATATTGGAAAAAAAGTATGCACTACACACATACAGACTTTATTTCTTGTTATTATTCCCTAAACAATACAGCATAACAACTACTTACATGGTATTTAAATTGTGTTTGATATTATAAATAATCTAGAAATGATTTAAAGTATACAAGACAATGTGTGGTAATATGCAAATACTATGAGATTCTACATAAGGGACTTGAGCATCTACAGATGCTTCATGGGGTTCTTGGAACCAATCTCCTGTAGAAACCAAAGAATAACAGGAAAGTGTACATGGCACTTACTAGGAGCCAGGCTCTGGGATTACAAACTCTGTATTTATTCATTCATTTAAACCTTATGAAATAAGTTCTGAGGGGCTGGGGTTGTGGCTCTGCAGTAGAGTGCTTGCCTGGCACATGCGAGGCCCCAGGTTAGATCCTCAGCAACACATGAAAAATAAATAAATAAAATAAAGGTACTGTGTCCAACTACAACTAAAAAAATATTTTTTTTAAAAAGAAGTTCTGCACGAAGAACTAACTTTATTCTGTATGGTGGTACAGGGATGCATAGAGGTTGAGACCCAGAGAATAGTGAATTCTGCCTGAGCTGATCCAGAAGAGCTTCATGAAGGTGATTATCAGATGAACCAGAAGTTAAGCTCATGAGGTAGAGCACAAAGGAATCAGACAGCATGTGCCAAGCACAGAAAGGTGAGACAACACAGTATGTTTCAAAAATGTAAACAGTATAGTGAGTACAAAGGGCAAGGGATACGCTTGAAAAAGTAAGCTTCAGCCAGATCATTAAAAATTCTTTTGCTAGGAATGGGGTATGGCTCAGTGGCAGAGATCTTGCTTAGCACATCTGAGGTCTGGAGTTTGCCAGCATCACACACACACACACACACACTCACACACATATACAGAATCTTTTTTTAATATTATACTTTATGTGGTTATAATTTTTAATATATTTTTTAGTTATACATAGACACAATATCTTTATTTTGTTTATTTATTTTTATGTGGTGCTGAGGATCGAACCAGGATCTCTCACATGCGAGGTGAGCGCTCTACCACTGAGCCACAACCCCAGCCCCATATACAGAATCTTGTCATATTTTAACGGTTTAGACTTTCTTCTCAAAGTGAGAGGGATGATAGTTACGGGTGATATAATCAGTTTAGCATTTGCCCAGAATTGTGGTGAAAACAACATGGAAAAAAATTGGTAGGAAAAAAAAAAAGAAATTGGAAGGGTTGGTATGGAAATGAAGTGAGTGGAGTCCTCTCGGAGAAAAAAGGCAGGAGAAAGTAAAATAGAACAGAAGTCAGAATGAAAAAAAGAGGGTGGGTTTGATGGTAATGTAGAAAATAGAACTGATTAGATTTGATGATGAATTAGATTTGAAGAGAAGGAAGGACAGAGTTGAGGGTGGCCTGGGTTTTCTGACTCATGGTGCTATGAAGGGAAGTGTCCTGCACAGATTACAGAACCCAGAACAGATCATAAAAAGAAAGTTAATGGCTTCTAGTACTTAGTCTGTCACATAAGAAACTTGGAAGTCCTCACTCCCATCCTCACAAGAAGGAAAAAGCTGAACAAACTGAAAATTCACAACTTTTCCTGGATCTATCAGAGAACTGCAGGTACAAGGCAAATTGCTGCCCCCAAATTAGAGATAAACAGGTAGATACAGAGAATTCCAATTTACCAGCAAAAGCCCAGGAGCAGAAACTTCTACGGAAACCAGTACCAGGGTTAGAAAAATTAAACTGTAATTGACAAATAGCTAGAGGCTCAGTGCAGACAAATTTGAGAGTTAAAAACTCCAGGGGGTCCCCTTCTTAAGGGGGGGGTCCCCATGAATCTATGAGTTTTACCTCAAGAAATTTACCAGGTTCTCACAGTAAAGACTAAAGAAAATGCTCATTGGACTTCTGGCAGGGGGAGAAAGAAAGTGGCCTTTAAAAAAATTACTTTAATTTTAATTTTGAGACAGGGTCTTGCTAAATTGCAGAGCTGTCCTTGAACTTTCAATTCTCCTTCTTCAGCCTTTCAAATTGCTGGGATTAGAGGCATGAGCCACCATGTCTGGCCAAAAGTGGCCATTTTGAAGTACATTAAGAACACTCTATTTTTAACAAGGTTTGTCCTCAAGAGAAACTAAGTCTTACTAACTTAGGACATAAAGAGAGCCCAATTCATCTGGGAAAAGGGAAATCCCTGGTCTAGCCTCCTAGCATTTCACATGAGGAAAGGAAACATGCAACTTCAGCTCTAGCGTTCCTGTTTGACCTGTTTGGGGCAGTAGGAAATGGGGGGTGTCAGGGACTGAGAAGCATTTGTGAAAGTCACAGCCCCAGGCACAGGCTCTAAGAAACTGAAACCTAATTATAGGATTCTAGAATGTTCCCCTCTCCATACTTTAACACCAATAAAGCTCTGTGTAATAACAGGGGAATGCAAAAGAACTGCACATCTTGGACCTTATTTAAGAAGTCTCTTGGGACTACCAAAGACAACAGGGGAGTCAATGACAAGGATGCTGGAAGAAATTTTAGCTCCTAACATCTACAACTAACAATAAACATAGCCTAACCCCTAGGCAGATAAACATAAAACACTTGACTTTCCACAAAAAAAACAAAACAACAACACCACCAAAATGACATGGCAGACTAAAAGACAAACAACAACACCCATTTGAAGAGACATAGCATAAGAATCAGACTCAGATATAGAAGAGATTCTGGAATTATCAGACATAGAATTTAAACTATAGTCAATATGCCCCGGCTCTAATGGAAAAAGTGGACAACATGCAAGAACAGAAGGGTAATGAAAACAGAGCATGGGAAATTCTAAAAAGAACCAAAAGGAGGGGCTGGGATTATGGCTCAGTGGTAGAGCACTTGCCTAGCACATGTGAGGTGCTGGGTTCGATCTTCAGCACCACATAAAAATAAACAAATAAAGGTATTGTGCCCAACTATAAAAAAAAAAATTTAAAGAACCAAAAGGAAATGCTAGAAATAAAAAAAGAACTGTAATAGAAATTAAAAATGCCTTTGATGGGCTTTTTAACAGAGTGGACACAGCTGAGGAAAGAATCAGCCTGAAGAAGTGTGGATAGAATTTCCAAAGCTGAAATGCAGAGGGAAAATAATTTAAGAAGAACAGAATATCCATGCATTGTGGGATAATCACAAAAAGTGTGACATACACTAATGAAAATATCAGAGAAGAACAGAAAAAAAATGTTTGAAACAATATGGCTGAGAATTTCCCAAAAATTAATGATACCAAAAATAGATTCAGGAGGCTCACAGAACAGCATCCAGGATAAATGTCAAACAAACAAACACAAAACAGAACCACTACCATCATATAGGCATATCATATCCACACTGCAGAAAATCAAAGACAAAAAAAAAAAAAAAAGAGGAAAGAAAGAGTAAGGGATGGGAATAGGCTGGGGAAACTTATCTACAGAAGAGTAAGGATAAGAATTACATTGGCCTTCCATTCAGAAACCATGAAAGCAGAAAAGGAGTGAAACATTTGCAGTGTTGAAGAAAAATTTCAAAACTCACCAAATCTTGAGTTCTGTATCCAAAAAATTATTCTTTAAAAGGAAATAAATACTTTCCAAAAAAAAGTTGAGGAAATGTATTACCATTAGTCCTGTCTTGCAAGATATGTTAGAAGAAATGCTTTAGAATGAAAATTATGTAGGTCAGAAATTCAAGTCTACATAAAGGAATGGTAGAGAAGGAATAAGTGAAGTAAAAATGGGAGATGACTAGAATTTCCCATACCCAAGAAAATAGTCAATTCAATAATGGACTGACTCAAGTTAAGTACTCAACAAAATCTGAAAGGAAATTATTTTTAAATTTTAGAACTGGATAGAGAACAGAAAAGCACAAAATATTGCATATAACCCCACCATGCAGAGAAGACCAGTTAACAATCTGATGCCTCTTTAACTTTTGCAGAACTTGGGATTGAACCCAGGGGCACTCTATCACTGCTCTACACGCAGCCCTTTTAAGACAAGGTCTTGCTAATTGAGTTCCCCATGCTCTCTGGCCTCGGATTTGCTATCCTCCAGCCTTGGCCTCCAGAGTAGCTAGGAATACAATCACGGCTTGTATTTTTTTGCGGTACCGCGGATTGAACCAGGGATGCTTAACAACTAATAAACTATTCCTATACCTTTTATCATTTATTTTGAGACAGGGTCTCACTAAATTGCTGAGGCTGGCCTCAAAATTGCGATTCTTCTGCCTCAGCCTCCCGGAGTCCCAGGATTACAGACGTCCGCCACTGTGCCCAGTTCATATTTTACTTCTTAAAGGCGAGCGCCCTCTTCTGTTTGGCTAAATTCTTACTGGAAGCAGCATGTCGCTGGGGAAGGTTTCGCAGGCGCTAGTTGAGGACTGAGATTTAAGCACTTGTCATTTCAACGAACGAAAATAATGGACAGAGAAGATTGCATGATCTCCGAATTAGAAAGTCGGGCCTCGGAAGTGACACGACTTTTCAGTAGGTTCTGCGAAAAAAAGCGGGAACTGGGAACTGGGAAGGCCCCGAGGGGCGAGGGGCGGTCACAGATGTCTCAGTGGCCAACTAAAGCACTAGCAGCCGGGGGGCGGAGCCTGAGAGAGGCCGGACCTGCGGGGGCGCGGCCTTATGACGCGACGTCACACTTCACTGTCTGGCAGACCATTGGTTCCCTTTTACCTTCCTTTTCCGGGGCAAGGGAAACTAGGCTCAGAGCCGGAAGTGAGGTACCTTCGAGTTCCAGATAGCGGTGGCGCTTAAAGCTGAGTGATCCTGGTACCATTGGAGACGCCCTGCTCCTCCATTCAGGCTCCATCCTGAGCTAGGAGAAGCCCCCAGAATTCTGGCGACCTATAGAAGAGAATTGAGTCAGATCGCAGCGTATCCGGCGCACCACGAAAGAGCCGAATCAGAGGGCCCCCGGAAACCCGCCCCCAGGAGGGGTCGGGAAGTCTCTCCAAGGTGGTAGAAGCCTGAAGGAACAGCCCTGGGGCGGAGACGGGGCCATGGCCACGCCTCCGGGGGCCGGCCCCGCTACTTTGCGCTTCGCAGCGGCAGCCAGCTGGCAAGTAGTGCGCCAACGCAGCGTGGAGCACTTTCCGAGAGTACTAGAATTTTTGGGATCCCTGCGCGCTGCTGCTCCAGGCTTGGTTCGCTACCGGCACCATGAACGCCTTTGTATGGGCCTAAAGGCCAAGGTATTGGGGCGGAACGGAAGATCTGAGAGGGCCGAAGGTTGGGGGACAGGGGGAATACCAGTTGGAAAAGAGTGGTTTGTCCCGAGTGGGTATTCTGAGCTTAGTATCCTGCAGGTGGTGGTGGAGCTGATCCTTCAGGGCCGGCCTTGGCCCCAGGTCCTGAATGCCCTGAATCATCACTTCCCAGAATCTGGACTTGTAGTGCGGGACCCTAAAGCTGTGAGTAAATCTTGCAAACAAGCCCTAAGTCCAGTTGCACTTAAAAGTTGCCCCTGTTGCCCTCAACTTCTCTGCCTTTCCTATCAACAGACAAAGCAGGATCTGAGGAAGATTTTGGAGGCACAGGAGACTTTTTGCCAGCAGGTGAAGCAGCTGTCAGAGGTCCCTGTAGATTTGGCTTCAAAGCTGCAGGTGAGACTGGGTAGTTTGGAGGCTGTTAAGTGGTTGTTCCTATTTTCTGTCATCCTTTTCTGACCTGCTTGTCTTTCTCCACTGTAGGAACTTAAACAAGAGTATGGGGAACCCTTTCTGGATGCCATGGAAAAGCTGTTTTTTGAATACATGTGTCAGCTGGAAAAAGCACTGCCTTCAGTGCAGACACAGCAGGTTTTGTTGGAGCAAAACACTTAAGGACAGAGTGTGGGGTGGGATTATTGTATCAAGGACTGGTTTTTATGCCTCTTTTCCTGCCCACAGCTTCAGGATGTGCTGAGTTGGATGCAGCCTGGAGTTTCTATCACCTCTTCTGTTGCCTTGAGCCAATATGGTGTGGACATGGGGTGGCCACTTCCAGGTATTAGTACCACCTGGGATAATTAGCTATTTGTGGATGTGGTATTTAGTATGACATATTTTGAGTCAGTCAACTTGAAGTTAGGTGGGCCTGAAGCATAAGGAACCTGAGCAAATTAATCTGTTACTATCTATTATTCATTTTTTTCTGGTACTGGTAGTGAACCCAGGGGTGCTTAACCACTGAGCTACATCTGCAGCCCTTTTTAAAATTTTGGGACAAGGCTTCACAAAGTTACTTAGGGCCTCACCAAGTTGCTGAGGCTGGCCTTGAACTGGTGATCTTCCTTCCTCAGCCTTCTAGGTTGCTGGAATTACATGTATGTGCCACCATGCCCAGTTATCTATTCTCTTTATAAGAAGCCTCATTTTCTCTTTCAGAGTGCTCTGTTTCTGATTCAGTGAACCTGACAGAGATGGAACAAAATCCTCCTCTGCAACAGGCACTAGCACCCCATAGTCCTCTGCCAAAAGCCAAGCCTGGCCCTCAGGGACCAGCTTCAAGGAAGCACCCAGAACGTTTGGCAGGCCACCACTTCAATTTGGCTCCTCTGGGCCAGCGAAGAACCCGGTCCCAATGGACATCTGCTAGGGAAGGCCATAAGGAGCGTCCAATGGTCATGCTGTTCCCCTTTAGAAATTTGGGCACACCAACCCAGGTCATATCTAAATCTGACAGCAGGGAAGAGCATGGAATTCATACAGTGGACCCATCAGATGCTGTGGGCACAAGAACAGCCATCATGGGGAAGTCTAAGAGTCCATCTCAGATCCTGGGGGAAAGTGCTCTAAAGAACCCTGCTGACTTATCTGCCTCAGAGCAAAAAGAGTGAGTGTTAGCTTTGCTTCTTCCTAGTAGGACCACACTGTTTACTTACTTTTCTTTCACACTGTTCTTTGCTTGCTTCTACCTCAGGAATTGCTTGGATTGCTATATTGACCCACTGAGACTATCATTATCACCTCCTAGGGCCAAGAATCCAGGTAGGTAAGCTGAGTCAGGTTTTGCTTAGACAGTCTGTTTTCTTAGATACTTTTCAGAAACTTTGTTCACCTAGAAGGAGTATTTTGATTCTGGTTTCCTTCCTCCAGTGTGTTCCCCATCTCTGTGCAACTCTGTCATTACCATAGGAGACTTGGTTTTGGACTCTGATGAGGAAGAAAATAGCCAGAGAGAAGGAAAGGTGAGTAGGAAGGAGCAGAAAGCTAGGGAAAAGGATGGGCAGAACAAGCCTGAAAAATCCACATGCTTCAGAATACGGAGGATTTAGGGGATGGTTTTTCGACAATAGGATCTCCTGCTCCCTTCTCTGTAGGAGTTTCTGGAAAACTTTCAGAAGGCAAAGTTTGACACTCTGATTCCTACCTTCTGTGAATATCTCCCCACTTCTGGCCCCAATATGGTGCCCACTGCTTCCTGTGACCACCTAGGCAGCTCTACACCCTTGTGATAGCACTGGAATGCCCTCTTCCTCCTTGGTCTTTAGGCAGTTTGGTGGGAATGAAGTGGAAACCAGGCTTGGATTGTCTGACTACATTACTAAAAACTTTGTGATGCTTGATAATTAAACTTTAGATTTGTTACAACACTCTTGATGTGAGGAAGGACTTCTGTAGGTCAGTGGATGTCATTTCTTAGACATAGAACCAGGTTTCTAGAGTTGGAAGAATCCCTACCATTTTACTTCCCTTAGAAAGTGTTATTCAGATGTGCCCAGAAGTTGAGAGCCTGGAAGAGAAATGTCTTTTTATTGTTCTGAAAATATATGCCTAATGCTGGAATATATTTTATAAACTCTCATTCTGCCAATTCACCTGGGGGTGGTGGCGCTAGAATGAAAACACTTTGTGGGAATAATACTTACTGTCTTTAATACCACTGGGTCAATGCTAATCACTACCTTCCTACTTTGAAGCAACACCTAGATGTCAGCCTTGTGCAGAAAGCTTTAGCATCTCTTTTATAGTTAGTGAGACCTCTTTTTATTGAGTTATCTCAAATATAAACTTCTGAGCTTTTTAGATATTTAAAGATTTCATTTAATGAACCTGATTAATAAGACATAATTCCAAAAGCCTGCCCCATCCAGACCAAGGCCATATAGAACATTTATGATTTAATCAGTATCTTTTCATCTTCAGGATGCTGGGTCCCCAGATACCCATTCAATTATCTTACTTCATTTTCAGACTGTATTCTTCCTCACTTCCTCCCCAGTAAGTGCTCTGGGCATCTTGTGTGTACAAACAGAGAAGTATAGCGTTATTACAGGAGCTCTCAGGAGGAAGACAATGGGAACTGTTAAATGCACTGCCACAGTAGTTAGAATGGGTGAGAAACCCATTTGGGAAACCCTTTTGCGAAGTATTGGTGCCTTGAGCAGGCAGAAATACTCAGGTCTAGTGTGCATCACTGAAGATTGGATTCACCTGCTGGGTGACTCGGATGAAAGTAGTTCTCCGGCTCAACTCCTTTAGCTTAGCTGCTCCCACATAGGTGCATGTAGATCGGATCCCTCCTAGGATGTCACGAATGGTATGCTCCACATCCCCTTTAAAGGGGACTTCTACTGTCTTTCCCTCTGAGGCCCTTGAAATAGGAAAAAAAGTTATTACCTTCTTATTCTAGATTCCTTAAGCTCAATGACTCTTCTGTCTCTATAACACCATGTCACCATTTTTCCTCCTAAGAATTATATCATCCATTTTCCAGCAGCCATGAGCTCTGCCACCATACTATGCAGTCACATTCTCCAAGAACCCTCAGCTTCTGGTCCTCCACACATACCTGTACTCTGCCACGCCACCAGCGTACTTCTTCATGGCCATTTCAGAACTCATTCCATAGAAGAGTTTGTACTTCTTGCCATCTCTCTCAATGAGGTCACCACCTGACTCACTGTGCCCAGCCAGCATGCCACCGAGCATCACAAAGTCAGCCCCTGCCCCTGCCAAAATCAAAGAGGTAGGAAAGAGATTCCTCTGGCCAAGATGCCCACATGGCCCCCCTTCAAAAGCAACTCATGCCAAATTCTCAGTCCTGACAATGTCTCCAGCATCTTCCCAGCACTGTTTTTCTCTCTGACCCATATCCACAAAGGCCTGCTTTGACCTAGTTTATTCCTCTGGGCCTGATTTCCTCAAGATTTTTAAAATAGCCTCTGGAGATTCCCTGCCCAACTTCTGCTTTCACTGTCTTCTCATCATTTTGTTTTGTTGCTTCCATCTGAGTAAAACATCATGTCTCCCAAGAATAGTAGTCTCATTTTAATGTGAAGAAGAAAAGCAGAAAATGCAGGCTTATAGTCCCATTCTTCAGAGTCAGTGGCTCAGGAATTTACAGATGGCCCTGGCTCACACTTGGAGCATCTAAATTAGTCTCAGGATTTCTCCTGCTGGCTTACCCCAGGCGACACCACAGGCTTCAGGGTCACTACTTCATATTATGAGAGAATCTGAATGGCTTCCTGAGTCTCTCCTACCCTGACCCTAGATCCTGAGAGGTAATACATCCTCTTCTACAGGATCCTTCTTCTGTGCCCTCCCTAACTCCTTACCAAAAGCTTTGGCCACATCCCCAGGGCAGCTGCAACCTCCATCCTGCAAAATAAAGAGCACAGTGAACAGACAGCATGGATTTTCCAAGCGCTCTCAGCGATGTCCCAACAGTCCACTTCAAAACTGACATGCACTCAAGAGTCCTGACCCATATCTACTAGAGCCTCCATACTGCAGAAAACCTATTGGCAGCCTCATACCCTAAGACTTTGGGCCTTACTGAAATGATGTGGCCTTTGAGGCCATGAGCAGCATCTGCACACTCCATCACTGCACTGAGCTGTGGATACCCCACTCCAGTTTTCTTCCGGGTTGTACACACAGAACCTAGGAAGAACATGCCAAGGGTGAGAGTGAATTCACTCTGTGAATTTGCCACTGAAGGTGAGAGTGAATTCACTCTGTGAATTGGCCTCAATGAAATAGCTTACCTGGCCCAATTCCCACTTTGATGATGTCAGCCCCAGAGAGGATCAACTCTTCCACCATCTCTCCTGTTACCACATTCCCTGCCTGGGACAGAGCAGTCAAAATAAGAACATCCTTATGGTCAGAAATGGACACAAGCTTATTTGCTCTTAGATGGCATGCCTGGACTATGACTTCATATTATGAGAGACTAATACAAAGAAAGGATACCTAGGTTCCCTATGTTGGGACCTCTGAGGGCTTCTACACTAGCTACTTCAAAGGACCCTGCTCTCTATACTAAGCTAGCTAGATAGGGAGCAATGGTGGAAACTGGTGTCACTGTTGAAATGAGGGTAAAGCCAGGGTCCAGGATGCACTTTACTATCTCAGGCAGCAAGGTGGTATGACCCACAGGGGAGAAGTGAGATGGCATGAAGAAGTGTTCAGTGCAGCAAAAGAAATTACTAGAGCAAACTCAGATCTGACTTAAGAGTAGATTTATCTCCAACATACCCTGTTCTGTCATAGAACCTCTCTGGCTTCAGGGAAAGGGGAAGACATGGTAATGTAGGCTAAATACTCCTCCCAACTGTATTTGCTTTTGATGGTCAGCAGAGACCTTCAATGCTATGAAAGAAATGGGTTCTTGTCATCCCCTCCACAAGCTTGTAAAAAAATTAAACATTATTTCCTGTGATACCTTTTATGTGATTGTCCATTTCAATGGGCAGATGTATATGTACCAGAGTAATGTACAATGCATACATGTTCCATCATGGTTTTGTGAGTGATATCAAGGACACTGGATTTACAAAAACTAAATCAAGGATTGGAGATATTGCACTGCTAATAAACATTTTAGACTTGGAATCATGGTATAATCAATCACCCAGTAATGTTATGTGGACTCGAAATAGCATAATGTAACAGAAAAATGAATTGATGTAACAAATGAAGTGTTAAGAAAAAGAGTGGAAGGTAACAACTACAGGATAATAAAAACATACCATGATGGTGTGTTGAGGGAAGCGCTTCCGTACATCCTTTACAAATTCAACAAAGTGTTCAGAGTAGCCATTTGCCACATCTAGGCATATATATTTCACCTGGGGAATAGCTTCCAGGATCTGTTCCAGTTGCTCAAAGTCAGAAGAGCCTGTCCCTGAACTGGCAGCCAGATACTGTAGAAGAAACACGGTCACTGACATGAGAAGCATTAGACTAGCCTGTGACATTATATTATCAGAGATGATCTAGTGACCAAAGGGGTAAAGGGTGAGGGTTGGTTCCTGGCAGCCAAAAATGGTTCCCTGGAAAATGGACAAGGAAGGGAGTAAGAGGGGCCCAGTGTTACCTGAAGACAATCAGGATTCTGGCCAGCAAACTCTTGCCACTGATGAAGACTGTAATGTTTATGGACAGCAGTGAAGAGGGAGAACTGGGAAGAGAAGCATTCAGAAAGGAGAAAACATTATCAGGATCTTTTTCTATAAAAATAGATCTTTATACTCTTCTGAGAGAAAAAAACAATTGGAGTTTGGAAGGAAAACAAGTTCTTGGCTGAGCTGGGATTTGAGTTTGACCATTATTATCCCTACAAATTCCAGTAGGGCTTTTTCAACATGAAACTAGTATTTAATTATTCCTACTAAAGTACTGAGTCATCTGGATTTCACCAGCTAGCATATACATTGCTTTTGACCTAAAAGGTGAGAAAGACAAGCTCTTGGTGTAAGGGCACAAGTAGGAGATACGTAGGAACCATGAAGAGGCTAGATGGAGCCAGTGATTGTCTGCGCTTACACAGTCCCTCCTCCTAAGTACTCTAGTACTAAATCTGTCTTTAGTATCTTCTGATTCACTTGCCAGCAGTAATTCAGTGAGTACAGATGCCCACAAAAAGTAAAGCCTTAAGCTTAGTGGAGCTGTTAAGGGGCCATACCATCCTTTATTTCTTCAGGAGTAAGGACAAGTATTCTTTGATGGGGACATAGACAAGAAAAGTCTATTTCAGTCAACCAAGTTGTAAGACAATGACTTATCAGGTTTATATTCTCTAGCTCAACAAATGACAATGTCCCAGTACTTTGAGAAAGCCATTCAAAAGCCACCGTGGCCAGGCTCATGCCTGTAATCCCAGCTACTTGGGAGACTGACTCAGTAGGATCACAAGTGCAAGGTCAGCCTGGGCAACTTGGTGAAACCCTGTCTCAATAAAATTTTTTAAATGTACTTCAATGATACAGCATGACCGTTGGGTTCAATCCCAGATACTGAGAGAAACAAAACAAAACAAAAACCACTGTACACAGTGTTTGTGCTTTAAAAGTGCAAACATGCAAACAGACATGAGACAGCACAAATCTTGCAATGCACCAGAAATGCAAGGAAGTCATGTATCAGCTAGCAGCAGAAAGTGCTATACTTAGAGATGATCATCAATACCATCTAGCTAAAATCTGGTATTAAATTCTACCTTCTCAGCAACACTGTTAATATGTTGATTAAGTTGCTCTAGGAGGTCAACATGCCTTGGAGATGCAGTAGCCTAGTGTGGCATGAATACATCTAATATATAACATAATCTAGAAAAATATGTTTGCTTGCATCCGACCTTTTCATAATTATTAGGAAACTTGGCTCTGTCTCTGAAATCTGACTTTAGTACTCATCAGCAATACTGAAAAGCCAGTCTCAACATAAAGTATTAAGACATTCTCCAACAAGGTTCATGTATTACAGCATGCTGGTTAAATCTCCAGTCAGATTTATCATTCCCCAAGTCTACTGGTCAGGGAAAGCAGACTATGGGTAACAGCAGGATTCCTAAGCAGTTAAGTTAGAAAGGCAACAAAAATAATAAAACTGCATAACTATCAATCTCAGAGAAATAACAACAGACATTCCACAAAGAGACAGCAATTTGAAACAGGAAGATGGATTCTTTAAGGCTAACAGAACCACAATCAGCAACAAAATCCATCAACTATGGTTACGTGGATTGACCAGTAGAGTGCTTGTATTCTCAAAGTGTCCAGGTAACCTTCTCAGCTAACAAGTACAGAGGCAGGTAATACTACTGACAGGAGCAGTGTCTTCCATTTTCAAAGTGAACAACCTGCATTTAAGAAAAAAAACCGATTTAGGAAGATGGCGGCGAGGGGAGTGCATTGCCCCCGTGTGCTGCTTCACTGTGTGGGAGTATGACAGGTCAGGACGGCTAAAGGCTATCTTGTTAGGAATTTCCAGCAATAGTGGGGTGCTCCGGAACCTGGAGGAAGGATTTCCATCGCACGAGGATCGGCTACCGGGACTCAAACGTGAGAGGTTTGTCGCACGGAGGGTAACACTGCTTATTCAGCAAATCGCCCCGCGGCTAGAGTCTGCAGCGCGCGCTGGGAAACGAGGAGATAGCGACGCAGGGATACAGCGCTGCAGTTTCTGCCAGCCGTGCAAGCACCGTACTCAGGGCTGAATTCTGGGTTCGAGACGGGGAAGGAAGCGGTCCATCTTGGTTCTCCACACCGGTCAGACCACAGAGGAGGCCAGCAGCCACCATGTTGGAAAGCTGACGTCACCATCCCTGTTTTCGACTGACCGCAGCTCATTCAGCCATAGAACAGGTAATTTCAGGCTGCCATTCGCCTGCGGCTTGCAGATAGATTGCTAGGGTTCAGTGCCTGGGGGCTTCTTAGAACCTGATCTTATCGGAGCGAACACCGAGCGCGGGCGGAACGGGGCGGCCGAGTTCCCGCTCCCGGAACCGCCCTGGCCCAGGGCTGCGGAGCCTGCGGAGGCTGCTTCTTGGACCCTGCTCCTATCAGAGCATACACCAAGCACTAAGCAGCCGAATTCCGGATCCCGGAACTGAGCCCGCGGGGACTGCTTCTTGGAGCCTACTCTTATAGGAGCATACACCGAGCACGGAGCGGCCGAGTTCCGGCTCCCGGAACTTCCCTGGCCCGGGGCTAGGAGCCCGCGGAAACTGGTTCTCGGTCCGGGTCCTGCTGAGGGCCGGTAAGGACTCACCCGTTGCTTTGGTTGCCCAGCAAGGGGAACGAAATAATGCCATTCGCATAGGATACCAACATGGCAGAGATCTGATGTCATCAGAAAGCGGCGGAAGAGAGAACTTCATCAATACCAGCGGCGACATAAACAGTTGGTCTCCTGGTGGGGGGGGTGAGGCACAGACACCCGAGTCTCCTCAATTTGCCGTCGAGCCAGAGGGGAGGAGCCGGGCCGCCTCCAGCGCCCGGAGCAAGCCCAGCGGCTCGCCAGCGTGGTGACCACGTGACCCCAATTGGAGTGGGGGCGGAGCGGAGCCGCCACCCGCACCCGCAAGGTGGGCAGACCCGCGACCCAGTGGTACATGGGCGTGGTAGGAGGGGCAGGGCAGAGCCGCCGTTCGCGCTTGCAAGGTAAACAGACCTGTGACAGCCTGGCGGGTCAGGCCCAGTGGCCTGCCAGTGTGGTACATACGTCACCCCAACTGGAGTAGGGGCAGAGCAGATCCTTCTCCCATGCCCGGATCAGGCCCTGCCGGTGTGATGGCCACGTGACCCCAATTGGAGTGGGGGGCGGAGCGGAACCGCCACCCATGCCCGCAGGGTGAGCAGACCTGTGACCAACCTGCAGATCAGGCCCAGGGGTCCGCAGGCGTGGTAGGAGGGGCAGGGCAGATCCGCCGCCCGCACCTCCAAGGTAGGCAGACCTGCAACAGACCGGCGGATCAGGCCCAGGAGCCTGCCAGCGTGGTACACACACCACCCTAATTGGAGTAGGGGCAGAGCAGAGTCGCCGCCCGTGCCAGGAACAGGCCCAGCGTCCTGCAGGCGGGGTAGTCACGACACCCCAATTGGAGTAGGGGCAGAGCAGAGCCTCCACCCATGCCCGAAAGGTGGGCAGATCTGCGACCGACCAGCGGGACAGGCCCAGTGGCCTGCCGGTACGACAGACACGTCACCCCATTTGGAGTAGGGGCAGAGTAGAGCCGCCGCCCGCGCCTGCAGGGTAGGCAAACCTGCAACCGACCGGCGGATCAGGCCCCGTGGCCTGCCAGCGTGGTACACTCGTCACCCCAATTGGAGTAGGGGCAGAACAGAGCCGCCACCAGCGCCCAGAACAGGCCCAGTGACCTGCCGGCGTGGTAGCCACGACACCCCAATTGGAATAAGGAGAGAGCAGAGCCGCCGCCCGCGCCTGCAGGAAAGATACGCAAGCAGTATGAAAAGACAAGGAAAGAAAGGACCACAAGCAATGCAGGTCAACACAACTTTAGAAGAGGTAACAGCTGCAGCAGATGGAATGTCAGATAAAGAATTCAGGATATACATGCTTCAGATGATCTGGAGTATCAAGGAAGACATTAAACAGCAAAATCAGACAATGAAAGATCACTTCGACAATGAATTACGCAAACAAATCCAGGAAGCAAAGGATCAACTATACAGGGAGATAGAGGTTATAAAAAACAAACAAACAGAAATCCTAGAAATGCAGGAAGCAATAAACCAACTTAAAAACTCAATGGAGAATACTACCAGCAGAGTAGAACACTTAGAAGATAGAACATCAGACAATGAAGACAAAGTATTTCAACTGGAAAAGAACATAGACAGCTCAGCAAGACTGTTAAGAAACCATGAGCAGAACATCCAAGAAATATGGGATAACATTAAGAGACCAAACTTAAGAGTCATTGGGATACAGGAAGGTACAGAGCTCCAAACCAAAGGAATGAGCAGTCTATTCAATGAAATAATACGAGAAAACTTCCCAGACTTGAAGAATGAGACAGAATCCCAAATCCTAGAAGCCTACAGGACGCCGAATGTGCAAAATCATAAGAGATCCACACCTAGACACATTATAATGAAGATGCCCAACATACAGAATAAGGAGAGAATTTTAAAAGCTACAAGAGAAAGGAAGCAGATTACATTTAGGGGTAAGCCAATCAGGATAACAGCTGATCTTTCAACACAGACTCTGAAAGCTAGAAGATCCTGGAATAACATATTTCAAACACTGAAAGAAAATGGGTTCCAACCAAGAGTTGTGTATCCAGCGAAATTAAGCTTCAGGATGGAAGATGAAATTAAAACCTTCCACGATAAACAAAAGTTTAAAGAATTCGCAGCTAGAAAACCATCTCTTCAAAACATCCTCGCCAAAGCATTACAGGAAGAGGAAATGGAAAATAACAATGAAAACCAACAGTGGGAGGTAGGACAGTAAAGGGGGGGAAAATAATCAAAGAGGAAAACAAACCATGTTTAGTAACAGAAATAAACAAATATGGCTGGAAGAACAACCCATATCTCAATAATAACCCTAAATGTTAATGGCTTAAACTCACCAATTAAGAGACACAGGCTAGTAGAATGGATCACAAAACAAGACCCAACAATATGCTGCCTACAGGAGACGCATTTG